CCACATACAAGTATCTCGACTCTGATACCAGGACCAAATGGGAGGAGCTGTCGCCCCCTAACGTCATACCAACATGGGACCATTTTTCGGCTTTTTTGGAGAGGAGATGTCAAGCCATGGAGACCATGGATCAAGCTATGTCGATTCAAATCCATAGCAGTCAGGTTGGAAAACATAAACGAATCACTCATTCAAAACACAGTCTTGTTGCTACAAATACAATCGTATTGGAATGCGTGTTCTGTGATAATAAAGGGCATAACATTTACAGCTGCACTCGCTTTGGAAACCTTTCGCCATCTTTGCGTCTTAGAGAGGCAAGGAAGCTTAGAGTTTGCTTCAACTGTTTGAAGAAGGGACATCGGAATACCTCCTGCAGTTCAGGCTCTTGTCGCACATGCGGTGAAAAGCATCATACCCTTTTACATATCAACAATCCGCTGCCTACGTCAGTTAACACGGAACCTGCAAACGCTACTACGTCTCCTATTCAGACAGACTTATGCCCAGGCCCCAATCTTTCAAGTTCTCTTGTTGCCGCTTCATCACCATGCTCGCCTCCTGCTCAGAATCTTAGCTCAGACGTAGTGCTTCTAGCCACGACAGTCATTATGATAAAGAGTCGAGTTGGTGATCTTCTTCCTTGCCGGGCTCTTCTGGATTCAGGCTCTCAGATTAATTTAATAACCTCTCGCTTTGCTCAGAGGCTTCAGCTGAAACGAGCCAAAGGGTCGGTATCAGTATCGGGTATCGGCGCTGATTCTGCATTTCACACGGAAGGTTCAGTTAATTTGGTCATTCAATCCAGGACTTCCGATTACTTCACGAGTCTCACAGCTCTCGTTGCTCCACGTATTACAGGAAACCAGCCTGCTTCTTCATTTGATGTATCCAAATGGGAAATGCCATCCAATATCAGCCTTGCTGACCCACACTTTAACAAATCTCAGCGCATCGATGTACTTATTGGAGCCAGCTTATTTTACGACATTTTATGCGTTGGACAGATCAAATTGGAGAGGGGACTTCCTATAATACAAAAAACCCGTCTCGGCTGGGTTGTCACAGGTGGAGGTCAGTACTCCCGCAGCTCAGTGCTCCTAGCTGCCTCTAGTTCGACGGAATTGAGTCAAACGCCTACCGTTGGTTTGGATGAGCTAGTGCGAAGGTTCTGGGAAGTGGAAAACTGCCACGGTCCCGCTACAGAAGCAACAAAGGAGGAAATTGCTTGCGAGGAACATTTCAAAAAACATTGCAGTCGGCTTCCAAGTGGCGAATATTGCGTTCAATTGCCTTTAAAGCTGAGTGACAGTCTTCTTGGAGATTCTTATCAACAAGCCTATCGCAGATTTCTCAATCTAGAGCGCAAGTTGGTTCGCAAACCGCTTCTCAAGGCCCAATACGCCGCATTTATAAAGGAATACGTCGATTTGAATCACATGTCCCCTGTCAAAAGTGACGCACTTAAACAATGCAAATTTTTTCTTCCTCATCACTGCGTCTTAAGAGAAGACAAAACCACCACAAAACTCCGAGTAGTTTTCGACGGATCCGCTTGTACATCTACAGGATATTCCCTCAACGATATATTGATGTCAGGCCCAACAATTCAGCCAAAGTTAGTTACGACTCTTCTTCGATTTCGTACCTTTCGTATAGCATTGACTGGTGACATTTGTAAAATGTATAGATGCGTCCGTGTCTCGCCCCAAGATAGTTTTCTGCAGTGCATACTGTGGCGTGACTCACCCCTCGAGGAGCTAAGGACATTCAAGCTGGATACCGTGACCTATGGAACGAAACCAGCAGCATTTCTGGCCGTCCGTTCTATGCACCAACTAGCGGCAGACGAGAGTTCGTCATATCCAATTGGCTCTGAAGTTGTGCTGCGGGACTTTTACGTGGATGATTTGCTAACGGGGGGAGATACTACAAATGAGGTGCTGGAAATAATTCGCCAGGTGTCAGGACTATTAGCCAAAGGAAATTTCAAGATCAGAAAATGGTGTTCCAACGATACATATGTACTCGATCAAACACCCCATGAAGATAGGGAAACATTTGTTAAATTTACTGATGGCAGCGATGTAACCAAGACGCTAGGTTTAGCATGGAATCCCACTTCGGATGAGCTATTATTTTCATTCTGTCCCAATCAAGTCCCTTCGAAACCAACTAAGCGAGTTGTATTGTCAACTATTGCACGATTTTATGATCCACTCGGACTTATAGGGCCAGTTATTACTAAAGCAAAAATATTTCTACAGCAGCTGTGGAAAGAAAAGCTTCATTGGGATGAAAGTCTGCCAGTCTCCTTACGCACAACTTGGATCAACTTTATTCAGCAGTTTGACTCTATGCAACAAATTTCTTTCCCGCGCCTATCTTTCCTTCGAAGCAGCAACCTTGAAATGCATGGATTTTGTGATGCCAGCATGAGTGCTTATGGAGCTTGCATCTACGCTGTTTCGCAAGGCGACAATGGAGTCAAGGCAAATCTTCTATCTTCCAGATCTCGTGTAGCGCCACTGAAGACTATCACAATACCCAAGTTGGAATTATGTGGTGCAGCGCTACTCGCTCAGCTTATGCATGAAGTGTCTTTGATGAACTTCAAGTGCTCTTATTATTGCTGGTGTGACTCCACAGTCGTTTTGGCTTGGATCAAGAATCAACCATCCAACTTCAATGTATTTGTCGCTAATAGACTTTCTGTTATTCAGGAACTCACATCTGGAATGTCTTGGCTGCACGTGCCAACTGATCTAAACCCTGCCGATATGCTTTCTCGAGGATCATTACCAGCTGAGCTCATCAATTCTCATCTTTGGAAGTATGGACCTACATACTTGACAGCCAGTAAGGATCAATGGCCAAGTACACCTGCTCTTCCAGAGCCGGTTTTGGAGGCACGAAAAACCATACTAATTACAAACTGCGCGTCAAGATATTTGGTGGAAGAATCAAAGTTTGTAAATTCCTTCCCCAAAATGCAACGAATTTTTGCGTATGTATGCAAATTCATTCATCGACGAAAGTCTGGAATAACTGTGGAGGACTTGCGTTTGGGAACCGAACTGCTTATTCGTCTTACTCAACAATCTCGTCTATCCACTGAAATAAGAGCCCTGGAAACGCGAAAGGACATCAAGGCTTCAAGCTCGATCGCCTCTCTTTCGCCATTTTTAGATGATTGCGGTTTGCTTCGAGTTGGAGGGCGTCTTAAAAACTCTACCTTGGACTTTGAAGCACGGCATCCCATAATATTGCCCAAGAATCATTCCATCACTTCTGCTCTGATACGGCACTTACACGAAAAGCACCTTCACGCTGGACCCCAGTCGCTATTAGCCATCATTCGTCAAACGTACTGGCCAATCGGTGGCCGAAAGACCGTAGCACACGTAATCCAAAAGTGTGTCAGATGCTTTAGAGTGAAGCCTCGAACTCTCGAGCAAATAATGGCAGATCTTCCGGTGGACAGAGTCAGCGAATCTCGTGCATTTTTAGTTACCGGCGTGGACTATTGCGGTCCGTTCCTGTATAAATCAGAAGTTCGAAACCGGCCCCCACTAAAGTGCTACATGAGCATTTTTATATGCTTCTCCACCAAGGCGGTTCACATCGAGCTTGTGAAGGATCTTACAACATCTGCGTTCCTCTCTGCTCTTCGCCGTTTCATTTGCACCCGTGGAAGACCGATTCGTATTTGGTCAGATAATGCCACAAATTTTGTTGGAGCGCGGAACGAACTGGCGGAACTTAAGTCGCTATTCCTAAGCGACAGTCATCAAGAAGCCGTGCATCAAGCTTGTCTCAACGATTGCATCGATTGGCGTTTCATTCCTCCTAGATCGCCACATTTTGGAGGATTGTGGGAGGCGTCAGTCAAGCTTGCTAAGCATCATCTTCGACGTGCCCTCGGATCCTCGCTTCTTGGATTTGATGAGCTGCGCACGCTCGCGTGCAATATCTGTGCAATCATTAATTCAAGGCCATTGTTTCCTCTTTCAGAGAACCCTGCAGATCTCGATGTACTCACGCCCAGCCATTTTCTAGTTGGCGCCCCTATCACAACCTTCTTGGAGCCTGACTTGGTTCATTTAAACGTCGATCGCTTGGACCGTTGGCAGAAGGTCACACAGCTTCAGCAAATCTTTTGGTCTCGCTGGCGCCAATCGTATTTAACCAGTCTTCAAGAAAGAACGAAGTGGCGCACCCGGAATCCTGAGCTTCACGTCAATGATGTCGTTCTTGTTAAGGACGAGAACTTCCCTCCTCTGAAGTGGCCTCTAGCGAGAATCCTCGAGCTCATCCCAGGAGCTGATGGCGTATCTCGAGTCGCCTTGATCAGGATGGCTACAGGTGTTAGCCGAAGAGCACTTGCAAAACTATGTCTATTGCCTCTACGAGATGAGGTGAAAGGCATGGATCCTTCCACGGGGGGAGTATGTTCGGGCGAAGCCCGAGTGTAAATTTTATACCATTGTTTTATTGCCTATCAATTCACTTTCTTTTCTATTTTGGTCATTATACTAAACTAACGTAACGTAAGCGTAGCTTTATCTATGCTCGCTCAGCAACATGCTCTCATTTAATCATCTATTCTTATCTATGCTCGCTCTTGTTATCTTTTCTTTCCTATGCCGTCGCTAAGCCGTCAGCAGCTGCGCCTGCTCTAGCAGTTACCGCTTGATATAGTTGGAGAACAGACCCCTTTTGTCCCCAATCTATTACTTTGGCTCGAGATCGGCTCGCTTGCCTCATCCAAGTGTTTCACTCTAATACTATTGTAAAAGGCTCTGGCATCTTTGGCCACCCTCAACACACAAATACCTATAATAAAATTTATAACGTTTTCGGAAATTAATAATTTGTGAAATTATTGAACAATCATAGTCAGCGAAAAAGCTCGTTGTCTCAACAATTACTTTAATTTAATTTATTTTTATTGTGCTTCTAAGCATCTTAATAGAACGAAATAGTTACGCTTGATTTACCGGATACCGAGAGAACAGCAGTAAATTGTACAGCACCAGCATGGTTGGCTACATTACAAGTGTAGTTACCGTTGTGTCGTGAAGAAACGTTATGTATCGATAATATGCTGGAAAATTGTGCATATTGATTTATGGTTAGTGACGGATCCGAAGAAATAAATGTATTCCTTTTATCTGTGGTATGATCTTTAGGCTCAATTACGTTCTCATCTTTCTTGACAGCTACTGTATTACTAATGATGGGCACATCATTTCTTAGCCATGTGATGTTAAACGGTTGGTCCCCTTGACTACTGGAGCACATAATCTGTGTCCGCATACCTTCAGTTATTTCTTCCTCAAAAGCAAAAGGTGATATACGAGGAGGAACTACGTAAATAATAATATGAACATAGTTTTTGTAAGATAAATATGAATATGATAAGTATTAAGATTATGTTTCGAACAAATACCCCGATTAGAATTGTAAGTCGAGTATTCCGACTATAAGCTACATAATAATCATTTTATTTTAAGATTTCAATATTAGGATTCACAATTATCATGCCAAATTTTGTTCGGCATTTACTCGAAATTTAAAGATAGGAACGCGAATCTTAGCAAGAAAATTAGTAAACATAAAGTTAAATTTTTTATTTTAATTTATGTCTATATTTTTTAATTTTTATTTTGTTGCCGTTGTGTCAGAATAGTATTAAAATTATGATTGATTGTAAATTCAAAGTAAGGGGGTACGCCACTAATCATAGAGTATATAGATGTGCCAGTTAATACAACGAAAACGCCACAACAGAATTTATGCCTATTCTACTGTACGTTCGACATCGGCTGCAGTTAGGCCTTACACAGTGGCTTGTTTTTTCCGAAAGCTCGTGTCAAACATGGGAACATTTTTTTGTTACACTTCAATTAGGAATTAATCAAGCTATTCAAGACAAAAACTTTATATATTATAACGAATGGAAGATTAAGTAGGCCGTCGCTCAAGTTGTCATGCCTTTTACTGGAAATAATCAGTCGGAGCTCAACGTTTGCACAGGACGGAACCTCAATTCTTTCGAAAATTAATGCTTTCCTAAGTAATAGAAAACACTTTTCAGTCTCTGTTTCTTAATAGCCAATTCCAATTGTTTTTTAATAAGGTTGTGGTAATCTAAAGCTTAATTAGTTGAACTTGGCAGATAATAAAAATAGTAAGAATATATCTTAAATCTGTTAATAATACTATAAAGGCTCTCTGAAGTATTTTAAATTCAAAGAGTAAGAAACTTACCATACTCTTCAAAAAATAAAATTGTGCTCATGCTAAAAAAAAACTAAAACAACTTTTCTAATTTATATTTTAATTAAAATAAATCAAGCCAACATATTTTTCCTAGCGTAATAACGATTTTGTATTCCAAATTATACTTCGCGCAAAAAGTTAATAGTTCATTAATTCATACGTTTGTTATTTTACAAGAAATTAATTACATAATGTAAAATTAAAAGAGTACTTTGCATTTTTATCATGTGTATTTCTTGAAAAAACAGTATAAAACATAGAGTTTAACTTCAATTATTCTTTTCTGGTGTTCATCTTCATTTGTGCAAATTTGTCCAGTAGTCAGAATTTTCAAGACTGTTTTCGGCTTTCAATCAGTATAAAACACAACCATTATATGGTTTTGTATTGCTATATTTTTTTGTAATATTAATACTTTAAATATATTTGAAATTAATACACATAAATAAAAAAAATTAAAACCATAGAAACAAATTTTATGACTTACATATTATTCAAAGGACACAAATTACAGACGATATCTTTTTACCTTTTAATTTTATAAGCTAAATTGACTATTTTACCCGCTGTAAATTAATTTTACTGAAAAGACAAAGCTTTCCAACACTACGAAGTTTTATTAAAAGTTTATTCAAACTTTGCTTTAAGTTTCTCATTAATATTAGATAAGTATGAGAAGTAACATAATAGTATTATTGACATATACAAATAAAAAAGTAAATGTATATTTTCTTTATCGTCTAAATAAGAAAACAGCATAAAATCTTGTACCTTTAAAGTAAAATTACCAGTGAATTCATTTTCAACGAGTAGTATTCACTTATCAGTTTCAGGACGACCTGTATGCAAAATATTGTAAAATATACATCCAACATTCACTAAAAGGAAAAACGTTCTTCATCTATTTTTTTGACGGCTTTCATTCGGAAGACTTGCTATTAATGCAATTATAACTATGAATACCTCTTGCTGCTATATAAAATTAGATGCCGAGGATATTTTATTTTGAGGGAGGTTTTCCTGGGAGGCTATTTTTAAATTTCAAACAGAAATTCTCCCACACACTATTGCACACTGAACACTGGCAAATTGTAGCAAATTGGAATGATATGGAAATTCTATCAGAACAAAGTTGGAATGATTTCCGTGGCAGCCTCAAATATTATCGTTGTCTTTATAACTCCCCAGAAAGGAATGTTTGAAGATATTTAAGGAAAGTGTTCTGCTTTTGTACCGCTACAGTACAAAAGAAGCAGCCAGCAACGAAGAAAACGTATAGCTTCGCATACAAAATGTCTTTCTACCAACTTAATTTACAAAATAAATACAATAAAATTCTATAACATTCAATCTGAACATAGTACATGATTTTAATAAATGCTACAATATGATATATAACAAAACAAAATTTTCCAGTTAAGAGCAATATGCATATAGGCTTTTCGTGAGACAAAATTTCTAAGACTACAAAAGTTACACATGCTATAAAAGGAGTTAACGGCAGTATTACAAATAAAAAAAATACATATAACGTTTCAACTTAATACAGTTTCTAAGCAATTCACACAAAATGAAGTTTATATGTGCGTAACATATGTAGTACATATGTATTTATAAATGAGCAAAGTAATGGTCTTTAAAAAAAATTTTCTTGTATTAATTTTAATCACATCCACGATGGTAGACTATAACTCAAATTTCAGAAAACTTTTGTGGCAAATTACGTTGCATAATCTCAATGAATCGGAGTAAAAGTGGATGTGACTACAATTAAATAACAAAATAGGCAAGCTAGATATATATTTTTGTAAGTTATTCAATGCAAATACCATTAACTTTGAGCTGTGCAGAGTGCGTTACAGTTGCGGCGTCATTTTGAACGCGACATGTGTACGTGCCGCTTTGGGCCCACGTCACACTTGTGATGCTAAGGGCACTGGTGAAATCATCATTCTGGCGAATTGTCACTAGGCCACTACCTTCACCACCGCTACGACCATTTTCATTCGAAACGACGTGTTCATATTGTTGATGAAAAGTCGGTGAGGAGGAGGAGATGGATGAGGTTGATACAAAGCCAGAACTCATAACAGCAGCGCCACCGGTACCACTAAGCCCACCGCTAACACCATCGGATGAGGCGGTTGCTTGCAGAAGATGCCCGTCCTTTAGCCACGTGAATGAAAGCGGCAGGTCCCCGGTGCCAATAACGCACTGAATGCTTGTACGGTCGCCGACATTCAGATCGCGTGCGAATGAGAATGGTGTAATCTTGGGCGGAACTGCGTGTTTAATATCAAAACCATTTTTAAATACAGCAGATTTAACATATTTATATAGACTCAAAAGTATCGCACGACTATACATATGTATTTTCATCTCTGGATATATGTACATATTGATACATGTACACATGTGTCTTAAGATGAACGAACGTGTACATATATGTACATATACATAGTATGTACATGTGTGCATACATACATAAAAATGTAAGATATGTGGATTACAAAATTTTAAACATACTTAGAGTCAAAAATTACACCTGTGGTGAGGCTAACGGCAGCATTATTAGTGAAATGGTCAGTTTCTCCTCCCAAATTTCGTGTTTCGTGCTATTAAAAAACGCATATTTAAGAAGTTAAAACCAAAGAGCAAACAAAATAAATAAGAATTCCCTAACCTATCCTATGGACACGATAACCAGGATGATGAACTGACCGAAACTCAAAGCCCAATAATGAAAATAGTCCCAGTTGATATGTCCTTTCCAGCTCAAAAGCGTTTTCTGTCCGCACAACTGTCAATAGGGCTTAAATGTCGCGTGTTTCCATGCGTGCTTTGTGCATTTATTGGTGCAGTGCAGACGAAAAGTGCAGGCAATTGCCAAATATAAATTAATTTGCAAAAATAGCAAATAATTGGACACAAAAAAGATTATCAATGACAAACGCATGTCAAAGTTTGCCCGAATGGAGTTATTTAACATCCAATATTAGTGAATAGAATTTCTTCGACTGCGAATTATATAAAATAAATACAGAAAACGTGCTTCATGCGTAAAGTTTTTATAAATGTTCCTAGTGCCCAAATTAAGGGACATGTACATACATAAATACATATATACGCGTTCACACATATAGGTATGTTCAAAATTTAAATATATCGGAATGTTCATACAAATTGGACCCTTGCATGAGTCCACAGGTTAATCGGCTCCTTTTTTTTGCTGCTGCAATGCTATACACTTATTAAAATAAAGTATTATTCCGTAAATTGGAAGGATAAAATCATTGAATTAATCTGAAATATACTCTATTTATTCCTGAAATCAATTTGTATTTCGTGGATTAGCCGATAATTAAGAGATCTGAGACTCTTGCAGATCCTCTCCGAAACATAGTCTACCCTCTCCTTGCCGGTAACCTCAAAACCTAAGTAGTGGATCGGATGAGAATCTCGAAAAGTAGCAAATCATATGTGGTTTGTATAACTATACCTTAATCGTATTTTTTACTTGTATCACACTTTAATTTAATTTTTTTTTTTTTTCGAAAACTCTACTGTATCCCATATAACAGTAAGATTGAAATGATGGATAAGACTGCCCATACAAACATTTAAATGTAGCTTCTTTTAATTTCGAGAATAATGTTACTTATTGAGGTTCGAATGAATTAAACATCCTTCTAATGGACTTCAAGTCCAATCTACACTGCAAGACAGAGCTAATTTGAGGATTAACTAGTGTAGGTGGCCGTCTCAACACGGCGATCAGTCGAAAAGGTGTGCCAAAATGATTTTTTACAACAAGCACAGCTGATTTTGACCAGACAAATCATACTTTCATGGTATAATTTTACGTTTCTCAGCCGCTGTGCTGCTACCAGATCGACAAAAAATCGTACCAAGAGCATATAGTTCTCTAGCTTCCCATAATCGTACAGAGTATGACCATATCTACCACTGTATCTACTGTATCAGATCGGATCATTAGTATGGGCAAAATGAACCAATAAATTTTTGGTGGCTACGCCACCACCTTCCACGCGCTTACTGTTCCTCTTACACTCTTTCCTCTTCCATATACTCTTCCTCGTCCAGTGTGATAATCCTAACAACTAATGATGGTGTGAGAATAAAGACAGATGTAGCGGAATAAGTGTAGCATGGCCTACGGAATATTTTTAAAGAATTTGCACTCTTTGTAAGCGCAAATTAAATCCTTAAGCATTTGTTTTCTATAACATCTATGTTCAATGTTCTATATCATGTTCAATGCCGGGAAAATTATAGAATTCACTGGCTACAAAATCGTAGGGTTATCATCAATCAAACCTAAATTTTCAATTCGGATGGATAAATACTTAAATACAAAGTAAGCAAATAGCTTACTTTGGAATAATTCTTAGCCTAGTAATTTCAATCGAAATGCTTTTTGCAACGTCAGTGTATATAATACATTATATACATTAAATTTCATGAAATACTACATCAACTGTAGATATGCAGACGGCTTCCTTATATATTCGTTGCCTTGTCTATATTAAATATGATTTGGTCAAAATAGACACTTCCATTCAAAAGTTCAGCTCAACAGCTTATAAACTCAAAAAGTAAGCTTCCCCTTCGCAGCAGACTTTTTTAGTACAAGGTCATGATATTTCTCATATGAAAATTAGCCATTTAATTCTGGGGATGTGCAGCTAATACGCATTTTATAAAGATAGGAGGTATGCAACCGAAACCCCTAAGGGCGATTACAGAAGCTCTTTGCTCGAAAGAGATCTCCGTATCTCCAAAGTTAGGGTGTACAATGAGTATACCATAGTACAATGTTTGAACATCCAACCGAAGCAGCTCGAGGACTACTGCACCCTCAAACCCCACGAAGTCTTAGACCCTCAAATATCACAAGTAGAAAAATGTCCTAAATTATGAAAATTAAAATCATCTCATTAAAGTGTATATATACGCCTATGTATGAAACTCTTGAAATAATAAGCAAGCCATTGAAAATATAAATTATACGCGATCGAAGTTTAAGTAAAACTGATTTCTGTTAGTAAATAAAATACACTCATTAAATACAAATTAAAAATTAAATTAAATCAAATTTTGTATGAACTTTTAAGCCAAGTATGCGGACTGCGTCAGCTGTTTTTTCATCTATCTTGATTTTTTTGTAATTAAGACTCGTTTTGTTGCATAAAAAGCCGTTTACTTTTCATTTCGTCGAGGAAAATGTTTTCGTTTTAAAAACGGATAAATCTTGCGGATTGTGAAAACGGGAGCACCAATTTATGTGATTTCAAAAGAAAGTCGGAAAATTTTTGTGAAAGTGAAAACCGGAGCTTTCCTGAATAATATTGTTGCATGTCACATGTTCCAACAGCAGAAAAAAAGGAAGAGTTGGTCAACAAAATGGCTATTAAAACGAGAATTAGAATGCAAGTACATACAAAAATTTAGATTTTTCTAAAAATTACTGAAAATAATTGTATTGGAAGAGAGAGGGAAGAATTCAAACGTACGGGGAATTCCTTACAAGTTCACACGATAGGCAGAAAAGGCTTTAAATATTTGTAGAATATTTCAAAACGCAACAAAAACGCAAACATAGCTCAACTTTGTGTCATCTATGTAAAAAAAACTGAGTTTTAATCAAAACTCAATAACTCAAGTCTAGTGTACATAGGGCATAAAACTGCTTTTGATTTTACCCAAATTTATTGCAATTTTATTTAAATTTTTTTCTAATGGATTTTGCGGAAGAGATATTAGTTTGGGCAATAAAAGTTAAAAATATACTATTAGCTGAAACTGGGACTATTCTAAAATTTTTTTAAAACAGTTTAATACGTACGAAAGACTTTGTGGAAGAAATTTTATTGCAAATCATATTATAGAAAATAAAAATGAAACAATTATGAAAAAATTAACTTTCCTTGATTGGTTGCCATTCATATTAGTTGGGTTTCATAAAATCGGGATACAATTATTTTGACCTATCCATGGTAATGCCCATATTCTTGAATATCAGTCAAACTGGTAGCACAGAGAATACGCAGAGATGGATGCGCGGAGAAGTGGCTGAACTATACTTTGAAAGCACAATTTGGGTAGACTTTGTGTTGGTGAACATAGTTTTGGTACAAATAATGATACAACTCTTTGACTGATAACACTGGGCTACCAACACTGATTTATCTTTTGTCTCCTGCTATCTCTGTCAAGAAGTCTAGATTGGACTTCAAGTCTGGTATAGGCGGTGCGTAAAAGGTTTCGTTACCTCGTACCTCTTAATGCAAAAACCTATCTTATACCAAAGACTATAAATTACCAAGATATTGTGTCAGGAGCAAATTCCATTTCAATTTTCGTTCGACGCTTCATGGTGCTTTAATTTTCCGTTAGGCTATCTTTCGTTCAGCCCGGCCGGGCAGATTCCTACAACAAGTACACAGTCTTTGGCGAAGCGTAGTCGTCTCCTGTCTCGATGACAAGGCCTCGCATGCCCAAGACATACAATGTGTGATAGTATTCTAGAGCATTCCGTTTGAAACCTGGCGAGCTGAACAGGCGAAGCCAATCTGGCAGCGTAACGAAGTCAGAGACGAAGCATGGGTGAAAAGAGAATTGAAAGCCCCGCGCGCGCTCTTTGTATGTTTTGCCGTATGCATGAGTGGAGCTCTCCACACCACCCCAAATGATGCGCTAAATGCCGTTCTATGCGTCAGATCTTTGACGTAGCAGGAAAGGAACAGCCAGAAATGGCAGCAACCGCAAAATGGTGGCTACAAAAGCGCACTTCGGCGTTCCACGGAGTACACAGAAACCACTTTCAAAATAGTCATCTCTCATGGAAACGTATGGCTGGTTGGACCACCACGCCCAGATAGCATTTTCACAGATGGATCGCAGCTGGAAAACAAGGTCGGAGTAGGAATCTACTCCAATTAGCTGAATATAAGCCCCTCCTTAGACTCCCAGATCACTACAGCGTCTTCCAGTATGAAGTAATATGAATCAGGGATGATTTGCATCATCTATAGCAATAGTTACATCTTTTGTAACTTAAATGGAATATCCTCTTCTACACAGTGACAATTTGTTATATAAATATTTTAATTTAAAATGTGTATGAAAAACATTTATAATTTAAATATTTTTATTTAAATTTGGTATTTCCAATTTTTTTTTCTTTTTCTTTTTTGCTGGATTGGTTATTTCACCCACTATGAGACGGTAAACTTAACCCTAAAAAGTTTTAAGGTCCGCTTGATAGCTGTAGAGGTTTGTTAAAACTAGTTAAAGGATTCTCAAGATCAAACAATTTTAAAAATGTTGGAGCTCGAACTCTGTAAAAAAGTAGATTTGATGTAAAAAAAAGATGGATTTTTGTGACTAGTGTTGCCTTTCAACTGTTCCGGACGGACATCTTAATTTGTCTATTTTCCTGAAATTTGAGGTATTGAGGTATTGAGCAATACTTCTATGTATTTTCTATTAATAAGTCCTCTGACCAAGAATTCCTTCAAATGTTCCAATAATGATGAACATGATGCAACAAAGATAAGGAAAACTCTTACTTCTCTCTATAAACAAAATCTTAACAATATAATAATACTCTTTGCAGGGATGTTAACTCAAGGCAACGTACCTAAAACTTGAACTTCAACTGACCGCTGAGAAGTGTAATTGTGCTTATTCCGAGCAATGCAAGTGTAGGTGCCCTGATCTGCACCGCGTTGCACGTTTTCAATAGTTAAGGTTCCGTTTTGCATACGCTGTCATATGTTTATGGGTAACCTAACGCCGTCTGTAAATAAATAAAAAATAGGAGTATGTGAAAGTTTGTGTATTCACATATTTTACACATACATGTATGTAATGGATGTTTAAACAAAATTGTATGGATTTATAAAATTTTACCTTTTTCAATGTTAACTGTGTCGATGGGATATCCAGCTATAGGACACTTGAGTGTAAAAACCTTACCAGCCACCGCCGACAGCTTTGACATATGACGTATGTACGGCATTCCTTTATAAATAAGTTTAAAATTTATATATTATTTATTTTTAAATAGTAAAAGAAATCTTACCATAGATGTTAAGGCGAGCAGAGTGCGATGCCACTCCAGCTTTTGAGAGAGCTCTACATTCATAATCTCCTCCGTCTTCTGACTTTACTGCCGTAATATTTACGTGAGATATGACATCCCCAAACATGGTCACATATTGACCGATCATGAGTCTATCATTCTATAAAAAAGAGATGATACAAAACCTTTTTATTATGTATGGTTGCCTCTCACAATTCGACAGTCAAAGCAATGACGCACAGTGAGGCGTCAGCCGAAAAGAGGTGGCAAAAGTCATTTTTTAAGTGAGCAAAATGGATAATTTGAACGCATCTAATAGAGAATTTTCTAAGACTTCCGAAGATGGAAACTTTGAGAAAATTGGAGCTTAGCTTAGGAGATATAAGCATTCAAGATGGAAAATTTTTACTGAATTACTGAATTTGTATGCACATACATACTGCATTATTCAGGTCGAATAAAAAGTAAAATATGCAAATATGTTTAAATTGTACAATGAAAAACAATTGGCTTGTTGGAAAGACTCCTAAAGAAAATTTGACTTGAAAAACTATATATTTTGGACTCACAAAAATACTATTCCACGCTACCCTAAAAATTTGTATACCCGATACTCAAAATTAGTATAGGGGTATATTACATTTGTGGTAAAAGTGAATTTAAAAACATTGAAATACACTTGTAACTGTGTGATATCACAGGAGACAAAATACAACATTTCATTGCTCTAGCTCTTATAGTCTCTGAGAACTAGGTGTCAAAAAGGACGGACGGACCGACGGACAGAAAGCCGTGGCTCTATCGACTTGGCTATTGACGCTGATCAAGAATAAATTTACACTATGGGGTCTGAAACGCTTCCTTCTGGGCGTTACATTTCATTAAATTTCCATTTTCCCCGCAAATCTAATATACCCTATTCTATTTTTGACTATCGAGTATAGTCTATCTATCTATATATACATATAAAATAAATTCGTGTTAGTTACACCATTTATAACTCAAGAACCTATAACTGAACCGATAACGATAACTGAACCGATTTGGCTGAAAATTAGTGGGGATGTAGATTAGATTAGGGAGACTGCTATAGGATACTTCATCCCGACAGCGTTCCCGTGTGGGGACATGATATTAACGTCAGCATAGTAGGCTGTTTGTCACAGGCAGCGGCTTGGCTGCGTTTTTAAAACAAGAAATCATTATTTTAATTTCGAATGTTTGAATGTTTTGATTTTTTAATTTTGTAAGTAATTTGTATTCTTTTCAATTCATCTTTAAAAATTCCGCGACCAAGTCAATCCAATCTTTAACGACAAAGCCGTTATTCAAGAACGATACGAAATATAGCGAATGAAACCTCTGAAGCAGAACAACAAATTGCCCCTGAATTGCAGCAAGGATTACTGCTTGCATCCAACCGTTTGTATTGGTCCAATGGGCGGATTGTGCAGCTTAGTGGTATCACGTCATTTTCTTGCAAACACTCAAACAATGATACAAATGACATGTTTTGGAAAAATGATGAATTCATTGAATGATGAAAACTACAAAGAAAGTTAGCTCGATAAATTATTACGCATATCGTTTGATGATTCGGCAAAGTGCTGACAACTATTTGCTGCGGTTTCGTCGATTATTTTAGCAGTATTCCGTCCACATGTACGTCAAAATATAAACGGAATGTTTAACTTACATTAGGTTGGACCAAGCCAAATTGCGTTCTGAATAGTATATATGTACATTTACGTGATGCAATTTGTACTGAAGGAAATGGTTAATGTGCGTAGGCCAACGACATTTGAGTCACTACGCACTGTGAATGGAACAATATTCCTAACATATCGTGCTGCATGTGAAGAACTCAATTTATTAGAAAACGATACACATTCGGTTTCGACAATCGAGGAAGCTATTATCTCTACAATTGTAAGTCAGATACGCACATTATTTGCTATCATCATTTCGACATGCTCTCCATCGAACCCATCTAATGTGTGGCACTCATACAAGGATAATATATCAGAAGATATTTTACATCAAAATCGTGTGAGTTTCAGAAATGAATGATGAGATACATAATCAAGCTTTACTATTGATCGAAGACATGTGTTATGAATGACGCATTTAATCGAGAATTGGAACGGGAACGTGAATATTTAATTTAATTTAAATTAGCTGTTCAAGTAATGTACCCCTTTTGAATCCCCAACAAAAGGAAGTTTATGATACATGCATTAATAAAAGCAACTGATTATGGAAATGGTGGTTTATATTTCCTAGATGCCCCTGGTAGAACTGGTAAGACATTCCTCATGTCAATGGTTTTAGCCACTGTTCGTGCGAGATCCAAAATTGCGGTTGCAGTTGCTTCTTCTGGAATAGCAGCCACATTGTTAGAAAGATGCCGTACAGCTCATTCAGCATTAAAATTGCAGTTAAATATTCAAAATATTGAAGAAACTATATGTAAACTTTCAAAAAAAAACTACGCAATAGCCAACGTTTTTTTAACATCGAAAATCATCATCTGGGATGAATGCACAATGGCGCATAAACGTGCATTAGAAGCACTTAACCGAGCATTAGCGATTTCCGCCAAACACTGGCAGTAATTCCAAGATCAAGATACCGACGAAATAAACGCTTACCTAAAATCATGGAATCTACGGCGCTATTTGAAGAAACTTCAGCTGACAACAAACATGAGAGTTGCATTGCAAAATGATACATCTGCTGACGATTTCTCAGACGACGCTGACTATCGGTAATGGTTGAGTACCTGTCGACGAATCGAGCGGATTTGATGTAATTTCCTCAGAACTTCTGTAACTTTTTCACAAAAGACGAGCTCATCAACAAAGTATTCCCAAATATAATTTTCAACTACAAAAATAATGAATGGCTGAGTGAGCGAGCAATTTTATGGGGTAAGAATAAATATTTAGATGACCTTAACTACGTAATTTAGAGCGGGATCACTGGAACAATGCATTCATTCAGAGTTTCGAGTTTGAAAGATTTCAATTTCCGATACGTCTTGTATTCGCCAAGACTATTAACAAATCACAAGGCCAAGGGCTTGAAAACATGTGGTCTGAAAATGGAAAATCAATGTTTTTCCCATTGCCAATTATATGTGGCATGTTCACGGATCGGAAAGACCATCTTCGTTGTTTGTTTTTGTGCATGATAATAAAACAAAAAACGTTGTAAGTCACAGGGTGCTTAGCTGAAAAAATAAAGCATAAAAAAGTATAAAAAATCTTTTAAAGAATCGTTAAAATACAAAAATGAACTTGATAAAATAAAAAATATGCCTAAAAATTATTTCCTCTAAGGCGGAAAAAAGTTATCCGGGTCATATAAAAATTGTTCGCTATAAATTAGCCAAAATTGATTAAAAATTGTTTTTTTATTGCGTGGCAGAACAACGTCTGCCGCGTTAGCTTGATAGTTATAGATAGTTATTGATACAATTTTTTCCTTAAAGTCTCTCTAAAAAGACTACTTAGTTGTTGCTAAAATATAAAGCATGGAAAAACCCGGTACTTAATTGAATTAAAAAAAAAAAAACTATTACTGTACTGAACTTTGAATTCAGATCATAGGCCAATTATAAAAAAATATGAAACAAAAAATTGTATATGGGATAAAATAAATATGGGAAAATTGTGGCAGATGGATAGTATTTTACATTGATGTTCTCGTAGTATTTTTACCTTTCAGTACGTATTTATTATATGGGATTTTATTATTTTATTATTTAGACTTGTAACGGTTTAATTTGTTTATGTTAATTTTGTATTGTTCGAAGTTGTAGCATAAAATATTTAATTTGACTTAAATGCTAAGAGGCTTTGCCCATACGGACTAAGATGGCTTATTTAATAAGCCTTCTTTTATACTTTATCATCTGAATACACCAATAATACTTACGTTAGGCAAAGGAAACCCATCCACATACCACACAATTTTTTGGTGTCGGATTTCCACTAGCGCTGCACTTTAATGATACGGATGGACCTGGCTGCATAGTTTGTTCAATGAACTTGTAGAGCAACTGAGGGGCAACTTCTGCAATCGATTTATGTAAATATTTAGAAAATTTATTTAATAATTATATATTAAGGATACAATACCTCCTAATCTTAATTCAGCGGAGCTCTGAGTAGATTCAAAATCGTTTTTAAGAATACATTGATACATTCCCTTATCTTCTTTTACGATGGACGAGATATGAATATGCTCATTGGATAAGAGTCGTACACGAGAACCTGTGCGCAAGGTACCGCCATCTTTCATCCAAATAATATTTTGTGTGGGAAATCCAGATACACTGCAAACCTGAAAGCCAATGTGGTTAAATTCACAGTAACAATATATTATTATAAGTATGTCACTTTACTCACTAAATCAGCAGTATGACCCAGACTAACTGTCTGTACGGCGGGCTGTATGCTAGCGCTTAATGCAGATGTTACAGATAAATCTACTTTGAATGTTTCGGTTCCCTCTGAGTTTGTCACAGTGCAAAAAAAAGCACCATTATCGGCTTTTATGACAGCCGATATAATAAGAGTACCATCTTTTGTCTTAGCCCTTCCAGTAGCCAGCATATGCTGCATTGATTCCTCATTACTTGAACGTTTAGTATGCCATCTGTATAAGATAATATGAAGATTGAAATCAAGACAGGAAGACACGAATAAACTTTTTTAAAGAACTACAAAAATGTTGCGATTCTCAAAAGCTAATAAGGCTAACCTAAAAGGGCTTGGGAAATATGCAGCTTCCCATCGAACTGATTCTTTGAGTTGTATGAAATTAAATTATAGCTAATCAAGGTTTTATTTGAAAGCATGTTTCCAAAATCGCATTTTTACCGTTACATACCGTTCGATATTTATCTGGTCCAAGTCTGTATTGATATTTAATTTCTTAGTAATATGAATATAATTATTTTAATATCCAGCCTGTTCAACAGCAAAAGGATAAATTTTCCCAAGACGGTTTTTTTGGGTACTCAAATCGCTGTACATACGTTCTTTGCGTACTCACACAAGACGATTGTTGTGGTTAAAAATAACGTCAGTATATATGTATGTATGTTTATACATTTAAATACATATAATTACATATTTGTGCTGTGCTTGCGTGGCGACGTTAAGTCCTCGGCAGTCGGTTTAGAGGCCTGAGAGAAGTAGAATAGACAGCCAGAGTCGTTGGATTACCATTTCCACCGACATAGAGAAGTTAGAAGACCTCTCGTCACCCCACCTCAATGGTGGACGTCACGAGGAACTTGTACGGAACCAACAGGCTTAGACGGAGGGCAGTGTAACGAATGGTCAAATTCAGTATACCAACTATTGGGTAGTCATGCTATTCACTGGAAATACTTAGTCTTGATTCAGAGTTGTTAAGATCAACACGTAGATTCTCAGAAAATAAAGTCGTCCAGATATATATATATATATATATCAGATATATATGTGCATACAAAATGAGTAAATTGCTGCTCACTAAAAACAGGGTAATTCTTAAAGGCTCATATCTCCTAAGATAAAAATCCGTTATTTTTGAGGTTAAAATTTGTATAAGAATCTTTTTATAATATCTCATGAAATCAAGCGTATCTCAAAATTTTTCCTGGCTCCATACCGAATTCGTATAGTCACTATATATTGGGTAAAAACGACGGCAACCTCTGTTCGTTGCAAATGTCTGGTAAAAACAAAAAAACCCCTCTGAAAGGATTTAAAAAAATCTTGGGAATATATCTTACCTGTACGTAGGTTTTGGATTTGCATATGCTACACATGCAACAACTAATGGATCTCCTGCTCTTATCATCAGCTTGGTAGTTTTCTCATTCATAATTGGAGGAACAAGTTCACGCATTTCTAAAATAGTAAGAAAAATAAAATTACACAGTGGAAAACTAAGGTCATTGATGATAAAAAGCTAGAAAAATCGTACAACTATTGTACAGCACCCAACAGAAGTGATAAAGGACATTTAAGTTCAATAGGCAATATATAGCTTTGCAGGTATAAGATACTACCAGCCATGATACAGGTGTTCTCGGCCATAGTGTCCAGTGATTGTCAAAAATAATCATCGCGTTTCTAGGCACATTCGGGTTGTCCATTCAAAGGTTGGAAAATGAAGCAAATAAGCCTAAGTCGGTAAAAACAATCGGACTAAGCATCACCACTAATAGCAACTGCAGAAACTATGAAGGAAAACGGCACTATTGAAGCTATCATCTCAACTCTAACTCTTGGCTTTTTCGGTTTTTAAACCTACCACTTCGGTTTAAAGCTTTGCCTCGGACAAATTACAGGAGCTAGTTAAGAATAGCTAAATAGCTAAAAAAAATCGGAAAGAGACAGCGCGATATAACTCAATTTGCAGATAAGGAGGCTAAACATGAGAATATCATAGCAGGTTTGTACATACAGTGCACTTAATGATATGTATACGCGACTTATATTAAGAAAATCGTTAAATTATCAGGATTTTTTTCTTTAAATGGGAAAAAACATTTCTAACAAGGGGTAACGTTGAGAGCCGCAGCTACGGCCGCGACTCTACATTTATACCCTCAATTGACTCGACTATTGATGCTATTGATTATGATCAAGAATATATACACTTTATGGGTTCGGAAACGCTTCCACTTTACCCACAAATCTAATGCATCTCTATACTCATTTCGACTATCGAGTACAACAACAAGCGGGAACGTTGTGAGCCGTGGCAGGCCGTTGCACCAGTAGCGAACTTTTATAGCCAATACAATAGCTACTTCTGCACAGCGAGCTCAATCGATGGAGGAATTCCACTCGACGAGGCATGCCTCATGCTTATCTGTGAGGCCAATACGACTCTTCAGGTTAATCTGGCTTGTGAACCTTAACGTGGCTTGTGAACCCCATAAAGTATATATATTCTTGATCAGCATCAATAGCCGAGTCGATTGAGCCATGTCTGTCTGTCCGTCTGTCCGTCCGTCTGTCCGTCCCCTTCAGCGCCTAATGCTCAAAGACTATAAGAGCTAGAGAAACGATGTTTTGGATCCAGACTTCAGTGATATGTCACTGCTACAAAAATATTTCAAAACTTTGCCCCGCCCACTTCCGCCCCCACAAAGGGCGAAAATCTGTGGCATCCACAATTTCGACGATACGAGAAAACTAACGAGGGGGAACGTTGTGAGTTGCTGCGGACACCGCAACTCTACGGTTATACCCGATACTAAGTCAGTATGGCTCTCCTCCGGCAGACGCCGCTAATATTTAACGACACGACAAAGAGTGCGTGCGAGAGAGACAGAAAATCAGTCTGAGCGTGACGTCGGGCGCTGCGTAGCCACTGCAAATTGATTTGTTCCTTTTGGCTATAAAAATGATCTGATCTGATCCAGATTCATCAATCTAATAGATATGGTCATTATCTATGATTCTGCGTTTTTAGTTTTCTCAAATCTGCAATATTGTGGATGCAACAGATTTTCGTCCTTTGTGGGGGCGGATGGGGGTGGGGCGAAAATTCTGAGATACACGTTTTATAGTGACATCTTAAAGGAGTGTGTGTACCAAATTTGGTTACTCTAGCCTTAATAGTCTCTGAGATTTGTGGTTGCCTCAGATTTTCGTCCTTTGCGGGGGCGGAAGGGGGTGTGGCGAAATTTGGACAGGAAACGGTCAAGGTCCGATATCACAGGAGTGTGGATACCAAATTTGGTTGCTCTGGCTTTTATAGGTTCTGAGATCCTTGAACTCATATTTTACAATTGGCAAAACCGACCATGAAACCTGTGTGTTAGAGTGAGACAGAGCGAGAAGAGTGAAATTGTTTTCGTGATTCTGGCTGTAATAATTATACGATCTGGTTCAGATTTTGCACTCTAGAAGATATAGTCATCTTCTACGATTCTGCGTTTTTAGTTTTCTCGTATCGTCGAAATTGTGGATGCCACAGATTTTCGATTTTGTGGGGGCGGAAGTGGGCGGGGCAAAGTTTTTGAAATATTTTTGGAGCAGGTGACATATCACAGAAGTCTGGATCCAAAACATCGTTGCTCTAGCTCTTATAGTCTTTGCGCATTAGGCGCTGAAGGGGACGGACAGACGGACAGACGGACAGACGGACGGACGGACAGACGGACAGACGGACAGACAGACATGGCTCAATCGACTCGGCTATTGATGCTGATCAAGAATATATATACTTTATAGGGTCGGAAACGATTCCTTCTGGACGTTACACACATCCACTTTTACCACAAATCTAATATACCCCAATACTCATTTTGAGTATCGGGTATAAAAACGCAGAATCGTAGAAGATGACTATATCTTCTAGAGTGTAAAATCTGAACCAGGTGGCTATGATAATTAGCCAGAATCAATAAAACAATTTCATTTTTTCTCGCTCTGTCTCTCTCTAACACACAGGTTTTTGGTCGGTTTTGCCAATTGCAAAATATGAGTTCAAGGATCTCAGAAACTATAAGAGCCAGAGCAACCAAATTTGGTATCCACACTCCTGTGATATCGGACCTTGACCGTTTTTGTGTCACAATTTCGCCACACCCCCTTCCGCCCCTGCAAAGGACTAAAATCTGTTGCATCCACAATATTACAGATTTGAGAAAACTAAAAACGCCAGAATCATAGATAATGACCATATCTATCAGATTGCTGAATCTGGATCAGATCAGATCATTTTTATAGCCAAAAGGAACAAATCAATTTGGAATGGCTACGCAGCGCCCGACGTCACGCTCAGACTGATTTTCTGTCTCTCTCGCACGCACTCTTTGTCGTGTCGTTTAATATTAGCGCCGTCTGACGGAGGAGAGCCATACTGACTTAGTATCGGGTATAACTGTAGAGTTGCGGTTCTGTCCGCAGCAACTCACAACGTTCCCCCTCGTTTAGACTAATTTAATGTAATTAAATTTTTTTCATGCTTTATTTAGTGCTACAAGTTTAAGTTATTATTATTTATTATTTATTAATTATAAATTACTTAATATAAACTTATTTAACTTATTACTGAGCTAGCCACGTTAAATTTCGAGTTTTTGTAGAATGTTATTTACTGAAATATATTAAATATCATTACAATTTTTCGAAAAGCTAATACTTCTATTTATTTGATAGTTTATTCGTTAGCGATTTCCAAAGAAATTTTTAATTAAATAATTTAATTTTAATTTTATTAACTGCGTCAATCCAAGTATTAGTCTATTGAGAGGAGTGGAGCAGCAATGAAGACGGAAGCTGAGTTGAGGAAGCTTTTAACCCACATATTGGCCTTAACTAATTTTCAATTATAGTGAACCCAGCAGACAAAGCTCTAACCGAACAGATCACAGGTAATGCGTCGCTTCCTTTATCTTCTGGTCGCGACGGAAGGAAGACATTATGTCATCGCTGCTCATGCGCCCACAGCGCAAGAGTGCTCTGGTCAAGTCGAAAATCGATCATTAGCGGATATGAAAGGTGAAATTGGGATAGATTCTACTTTGTGAAAATTTATCGTTACTCCAGTATTTCTACTTATTACCAACATCGATTGTGAGCTCACGGATTTTCCTGCGCCAGCATCGAGGCTTATGGTGCCGGTAGCCCAGTTATGTTAAACGATCAGGGCTCAGCCCCTGGACTTGAAACTGGACCTTCGCTGGAATTTGCTACAATCATCTCTCATCATCAATCATCTCAAATCATCCTTAACCACCCAAATGTTGGTATATTGAGGGCAGAGGAGCTTCAGTGAAGATTTCCAACTGCATCTTCTATCGCGTTATGGACCACCCATGAACACTGGAATTGACAATGACAGTCACTATTAACAAGGTTAAGAATCATTTCTTGTAACAAGCTGCATCTGCTCAACCCTCCTGAGTCTTTTGAACATCAGGCTTTCCATGGAGGTATTTTTGTCAGGTTTCCCAGGCCGATATTAGTTAACAAGTTCCTTAAATAATATCAAAGACTATACAATACAAAGATGTTGCATGAGCGACCAAAAAGCTGTTCTATGGCGGGTCCTAACATTAGGACCCAAAAAGCACGAGGGAGCGGCGCGGGTTTCAATTCCCTTTTCGCCTGTACTTCGTCTCTACCGCGACCCCGCTGCCATCGGTTTCGTCTGTTCGGCAATGCCTTCACCAGCAACGAAATAATTCTCGACTCTCGAGCCTCAGGCACCTTCGAAGCGGTGGGTCGCGGATCGCCGATGTCTTTGGAGCGGCACTGTGGGACCTTTGGCGTCTCAGCTTGCTAAATTAGTTTCTACCATGGTAAATAAGGCCATGAGCGTGCTTTGGTTTATAAAGAGGTGGTCTAAGGAATTTGACGACCCCTATATAACAAAGACTCTCTATACCTCGCTTGTTCGTCCGATCTTAGAATACGTCTCATGTCTCTCAGTACAAAGTACACCAGGACCGTATAGAATCAGTACAGAAAACTTTTTACTCTTGGCTCTGCGGGGCCTTAGCTGAGATGTGGGTGTGAGACTTCATCTAACTATAGTAGACTGCTATTAGTAAACCCCATCCTTAGTTAGCCGTTTGCAACTTGATCAGGGGTGACATAAACAGCCCTGATCTGTTGGGCCGCATAAAGTTCACAATTCCCATTAGACTCACTACAAATTTTAAACCGTTGTTCCTTATCCTCTTATTAAATTACTATTCCTCACATACCTCACATTCGTATTTGTATTTTGAATGCATCTTAGTTCTAGTAAGTTTAGTGCTAATTTTCCTCGTATTCAGGGGAATGGGCTGGAACGAAGGAAACGGAAAATTGGTATGAAGCAGGCTGCCATACAAAATTACCGAGCATCGCAGAACTTTACAGGTACAGCGATGGGCGGAGACTCACTGTTACTAGACAAATCTGACGTGGATCATTTCATAGGCCACTGAAAACGGCGCAGGACAGTCGATCGAAGAGTAACATATGAACAACCATATCCTGGCCTAATCAGCAAAAAAAAAAAAAAAAAAGAAGCGATCACGTGAGGTTTTCCGGAGGACACGACTTGTGGAAGAGTAAACGTCTGTGTG